ACGCACACACACAGAATAACTTGCCGTACATTTCATCAACACCATGCTACCAAGCACAACAACGATAACCCACCTGTGCATACTTTAGCCAACACAGTGTCACTTTCTTCAACCAAAATGATCACTGGAATGTCACCACTTGGAATGTCATCATCGCTTGTCAGGTCCTGTACAAGATTATACCAAAAGGAACGAGTTGTGATTAAGTGCCAATTCAGATGCATACTTTTAAAGTCTAAATAACATAAGTGTGTACGTATCCACAAGCTTTGCAACTGAGCAAACATACCTGGGGCACAAAACTGTCTTCTGGAAATACACTACTGGCAAAAACGTTCAAGTTTTTTTTAAAAAGCAAGATGGGTCCAGGATAAAGACATATTTTAATGCACAAGGTGGATGATTGTAAATTCATTACAAGGTGCATTCAATAAAATCGTTTCATACTTAAAGTACAATTTAGAGGTTGAAATGAAAAAAGAAAAGGTAGAGACAAATTTTACCATGTACGCACAGAGAAGAATAATATCAGATTTTAAAGCTTTTGAAGGTCACAAAATGAGATTACGTCACCAACCTCAACGGTAAACAGCTGTTTGTTGTCAGATGGGTTTGATGGATAATCGACCCCCGTGACAGAGGTAAATTTAACGACCACGCGAACTTCTCCAGTAGTTTCAACCTCGTATGCGTACACAACTGCATCTTCTGGAACTGAAAAGTTTAGGGAGACTATTGAGAAACAATGGAAGGTAAAGGTATTCATTTTGTACATGTAATGGTTTTATTTTAAACATTTCACTGGTTTTGTTTGCTTCATCACGTGTAGATCAGAAAGAATTTTGTCACACGCTAAAATTCGCTTAAGGTCTTCAGATTTGAAATTTTGTTTTGTAAGTGTATTTAATAGGTAATAGTAAGATCATGGCTAAAGACTCTGTTCACTTTTTCCTGAACTCTTTAAATTTAACTGTCTGATATCTTCCACTAATATCCTACTCTGTTCAATTGCTATGCAGCAAAGGAAAGTATTTTGCCTTGGGATATGCACCCACGTATTTACAATAAAACTTTATCAAGATTTTTACCCCCTTCACAATTTTATAAAAGAAGGAATGATTACACTTTCTACAAACATACGACAAGGGAAAATAAACTTACGAGGTTCAGCTCCAGCCTCCAATGCACTTGCAACCTCTTCTGGTGATCGATCATCATCTAAAAACATTGGGAAATCAAGAATGGTCAAACAAAGAAGTAGACAATACTCATTAAATAATGTTTCAGCCATACTATGAATCCTAGACATTATGCATTCTTTTACTATTCCCTTCAACCAATTTCCCATCAGTTCCCACTTCAGAAATGCAAAGAGAAATATTACTATTTGCTATGAGATAATGAATAATGATGGTGGCAATTGAACAACTCATTAAGATTCTGCACATTAATTCTATG